GTGTGTGTGTGTGTGTGTGTGTGTGTGTGTGTGTCCTGGATTGCTCACGAATCTGTTTACATGGTAATATTGTGGAGACTGAACCATGTAAATAGGACAAATCAGCTGACTTCAGACTTCATGTAACCAAAAATATTTAGTCAAAGCCGATCGATTCCACAAGGAAGCAGGTGGAAGCCATTTTTTATTCTTCTAGCATTATTTAGCACTAATTAGCCAATATGCTTTTCACTAGCTAAGACTGTTAGCATTGGCCACAGATCTCCAAACCAGACAGTGGCTCGTCCAGGTCTTATTCAGTCTTTGGGACTGACTAACTCCTGGAGCCAGCCTCCAGTAGAGCCTGCCAGGAACAATCTACATACTATTCTCAAAATTTATGTAAACTAAACTGCAAATCTACTGTTATAGAAAATACTACGTGTATCAGATCTTATGGTTTGTTACATTTCAGAGAACTAAAATAATTTAAAGTAGATTAATCACTTCATTATTTACAGAAAGATTATACATGAAAAAATCTTAAAGCCATAGAGATGAACAGTTACCCACCCTAAAACCACAAACCCAAGACACAGCACCCATATTATTTAGAAATAAATTCTAAGGAATAAAAATGGAGGCCTTGGCTCCCTGGTTCACTGCTTTAGTGCCTTTCTTTGGCAGCACAGTGCATTATTAATAAAATCTGTGTATTTATGTATTTTTCTGTCTGGTTCTCCTGCAGACGTTCATAGTCCTGAACAAAGGGAAGGCCATCTTCCGTTTCAGTGCCACATCTGCCCTCTACATCTTCAGCCCCTTCCACCCTATCCGGAGACTCGCCATCAAGATCCTCGTGCACTCATATCCTTAAGTACACAAACTCTGCTGCTACTGTCTGTACTTGCCTTATGATCTGCAGGGAAATGGCTGCGGGTGGGGGTCAGGGGTCAGTTACAGAGGAGCCTCCAGTGCTTTCAGTGTGTGCTGAAGGATGCTGTGTGAGAGAAGCCAGGCCACCCTGACGGCAACAGAAGCAGTTGTTGTGGTTGTTGTTTTGCCTTTGTCTGCTTCACTGCGTCTCATTGTGACTGACGGGGCAGCGATATCTCGGATACTGTTTTATTTTGATCACAACCATCAACACGCAGTCCCGTATAAAGAGACCATCACGCACAGTTTCACAAGTAAAGATTAGAGGGTTAGAAAAGCTTAGCTTCATTCTTATCAGAAAATATTCAAATTAAAATCAGAAAATAAATATTAATATAAACTAAAAGTCAAGTTTAAAGAGCAGGAGGGTCTAAGACAAGGTTGCATCATGGGAAATGTAGGCTCCAGGAGATTTGAACGTAATGTTTTAGTCTCTGCTGCTTTTCTTAAACAAAGTCCAGTCACACCACAAACAAACAAATAGATAAATTAGATAAGGATTTCAATGATTAATTGTTATATGTGAGTATTTATTGGTAGTATTGGATTTCAGGTTGTTGAGCAGTGTTAGGATTTGTCATTGTTTCCTTATTTTAGAAGTACGAGAACGCGTGAGCTGATCACAATAACAATCCCAGTCGCACTGATGATGATAATTATTCATTATGCTCCTGCTTTTTACAGAATTTGCTAGGGCAGTTATGTGAGCATTGACTGTACAGCAGTACATCTAAGGTCCTTAAAGATAAAAGACAGGGGACAGCTTCCTGGTGTTCGTTGAATGTGCTGATTCGTTGGCACCACAAAAAGTCAAGATCCTGTAAATCTATGTATACATACCGTGTATGCATGTGGGCCTGGCACACAGCCGGATTAATGATGCTGTATGTTAACTGAAGAGGTGTGAGATAAAGGTTTAAAGGTCCAGCTCTGTGCTGACAGGTGAACGTACACAAAGTCTGTGTGATGGGTGGCATGCTAACTGCTCAGCTTATGTTATGTTGAAGGATAGCAGAACTAATGCTAACACGCTTTCAGTGTAAATCAAAACTCATTATTCTGCATGCCTGCTGGAAACACATGAAACGTATTTAACAGTTCGATAAGTTCCTCTCTCTGGCCAGAAGAGGGCAGCTCCTCTGGAAGCAGTCACTGTGAACACAACCGTACTACTCACTTGATTTTTCTCTCTTAGAAAATATTTAATGTCAGTAAAATACTCAAGTAAATGTACTTTGATTCCTAACGGTCCTATTCATGCTCTGGTGTAATGGTGTAGGGGATCATTTGGTGTGGCAGCACCAGCCAATCATATGTTTGAAAGGAGTGGAGGTTGCTGCGTGTGGTAGGTGGGGGACTGTGCCACCCCCATGGTGTGGTGTGGATACTTCCCTGACAGTAGAGTAAAGCTCACATTTGAATACTCCAGTTGTGTTAGTGAACGTATCTTGTTAATTAAGGCACTAAGGTTCTCATAGCTTTCAGAAATGTTCCATATTTCACTGTAATCAAAGTTGCGTACGGTTAAAATATCTGTTAGCTTAACTCACAGATGTGTAAAGTTAAACTAAGCAAGTGTTTGCTGTCGGTAGTTCAGATGATTTTTTTTTTCAGCGAGGTTAGTTAAAAACTGCCATCCTCATTAATATCAGTTAAAAGCAGATGCTTTTTGCTAGCCAAGCCAGCTAGCTGGTCCAAAAGTGACGTCTAGTTTCAGACTGCTAAGATGATCCTGGGCTAAACGGGTCGGTCTACACAAAGTCTGTGTTAAGCTGATTCTTAACAAATCAGATCTGGCTGTAAACAGTCAGGGGATGCCTTTTATGAATAAAGTAAATACCTTGACCTATTCAGCTAAAGGCCAATTCCTGCATTTCTGTGCTCAAAACTCTTTAATTTCACAGATTAGAGCTTTTCTCATTGTAAGAAAATGGAAGCAGAAAAACAAAAATAAAGCGACTATTCAGCGTTTTATGGAAAAAAGTTAAACAAATGTAAATTATTAATGTGAAATAAAAATACCTTTTATTTGATAAAAATACATAAAATAGCATCACTCTTATCAGAATATATTTATGCAAGACATTACAGGTCTGCATACCAATAGTCATCAGATATTTGTCGGAGACATTAATGGTGTAATCGTTGTTTGGCTGCTTTAGACAGACAGACGTCTCTTTACATCCTCCAGTGGTGAGTTTATACTGGGTCCCACAGCTGGACGGTCTCCAGGCACACGCACAGTAATGACAGCATATTAAGC